TAGCTTAAAGAGTAACTCGAAGAGGGAAGACAAGACACCAGGGTCCTGACTTTCTGGCTGGGGCGGGGACGGACGGGGAGGGCAGGACAGAGTAGAAAAGGGGACCAGGATGAGTTGGGGGGTCCCCTTTGGGCTGTGAGTCTCCACTGAGCAGTAGGGCAAAAGGCTGAGGTCGGCGCGGCGGTACTGGGCTCTCCCACCTCGCTGGAACCCAGCCTCAGCCCCTGCGTCAGATGCGGGACCACAGACTGGGGAGAAATGGAGGAGTAGCCCTGCTACTCTGGCGGGGAGCCAGGGGCATGTCCCGGGAGGCAAAACTAAGACCCAAGTCCCCCAATCAGAGCGGTATCCTGGCCAAGGCTTCCCGGTTCCCGTGGCTTCTCCTTAGGGAAGCTTTCAGAATCCTCCTCTTGCAACAGCCTTCCTGCCCAGAGCCCACTCCCACCCCCAAAGGAACCTTTTATGTCTGTAACTCTATATTCTTCCGGGTTCTTTTGCACCTCTTCATGAAAGTACACGGACACCATGTTGCAGTCGCTTTTACAATTCGCGTTATTAGAATTAAGAATAATGCTACTTAGCAATACTATGAGCACTTTGCATGTGGCAGGTACTGGATGAAGCACTTTTTCTTGTGTGTGTGTGTGTGTGTGTGTGTGGTGAAATAAACAGCACGCAAAAGTTACCACCATGGTAGCCATGTCCAAGTGGCATTAAGCACATGCACAATGTTGTGCAACCATCACTACCGTTATTTCCAGAACTTTTTCATCACCCTAGAAACTCTGTATCCTTTAAGCTGTAGAAAATGGAGCGCCTCATCCTTCTAGGTTCTTTGGGCTAGGAATTCAATGGACAAAAACAGATTAACAGGATAAAAACGATCTTTTTTTCTTTTTTGAGTTGGGGTCTCATTCTGTTGCCCAGGGTGAAGTGTAGTGGCCCAATCACCCTTTACCACAACCTCCATCTCCTGGGCTCAGGTGATCCTTCCACCTCAGTATCCCAAGTAGCTGGGACTACTGGTTTGTGTCACCACACCTCACTAAGTTTTTTGACTTTATTGTAGAGACAAGGTCTCACTGTGTTGCCCAGGCTGATTGTGAACTCCTGGGCTCAAGCAGTCCTCCTGCCTTGGCCTCCCAAAGTGTTGGGATTACAGGCATGAGCCACAATGGCCGGCCCGAAAAACCACCTTTATTTACATACCTGCACACGGGAGTCCCACTAAATATGAGACTCAAAAAAGCATCAGGTGATTGAAGCCCATACAGCATCTTGAGCTACAGAAGGGAACAGGGTCCTGGGGCTTTAGGGGGTGGTGGAGACATGAGTTCCGGAAGGGGCAAGGAAGGAATTATACAATGAATAAAGGTGGTTTTGCTGGGCAGGTAACGTTTTCAGGTAATAAAAGTTGATTGGAGCAGCCTTATTCTGATGGAGACATTCTACTCATGTGAATTTCCTTTATAGATTTAAACATTTTTGAAACAAAGGGACAGCTTTTCAGAGCTATTCCTGTGTCTGCAGTTTCTCAGAATAACCAGCTCAAAATATGCCAAAGATGTATATTTTGGGGGTGGCATATTCTGGTCTCCTGTGGTCATATTTGGGAGTGATGTGTCCTGAGCCCCAGAAAAGCAATGGCTCTGCCCGCCCCCCCCAGCCCTTGGGAACTTCTAAAATCTACCTTCCATCTCTATGTACCTGCCTATTCTAGATTTTTCGTGTCAGGGTTACCATACAGTATTTGTCCTTTTGCGTCTGGTTTATTTCACCTAGCACAATGTCTTCAAGTTCTGTGGATGCTGTACCATGTGTCAGGATTTCCTACCTTTTTAATGCTGAGTAATATTCCATGATATGTGTAGACCACCTTTTACTTATCTGTTGGTGGACGCTTGAATTGTTTCCACCTTTTGGATACTGTCAATAGTGCTGCTGTGAACACTGGTGTACAAGCATCTGTTTGAGTCTTGTTCTGGGGTCTTCCGGGCGTATATCTAGGAATGGAATTGCTGGGTCAGGTGGCAGTTCTGTTTTTAACTCCTCAAGGCCCCCCCACCCGTGTTGAGCACTTTAGATGAGGTTGGTACTCAGTGTATCTCCCTTCCCAACTGAGCTCTTTGAAGGCAGGGAGTGTCCAATACATTCTTGTATCTCAGGGCGCAGTACCGCGTCTGATGGGCGGTGGATGCTTGATAAATTGGGCAGTGAGAGCGGGAAAGGCCTGAGTGAGTGGGGGTTTGGGAGTGCAGCTAAGCCTGGGTTTTGCGTCATCCCATGACTGGCCGGAATGGAATAAGAGATCCCCCCACTCCAGCCTGCAGCCATAGGGGCGGTGGCGGGTGGGTGGGAACTCTAGGGGCTTCTCCGGGCTTCACCCTCCTCTCTGGTTCCCCAGCAAACCACAGAGGAGGACTTCCAGTTCCTGCGCTGCCAGCGATGCCAGTCCGAAGCCAAGTGCCCCAAGCTGCTGCCTTGCTTGCACACACTGTGCTCGGGATGCCTGGAGGCGCCGGGCACAACGTGGTGCCCCATCTGCCGGGAGCCCTGGTCCCCGGACTCCGACGCGCCGGTGCTGGATAACGTGTTTTTCGAGAGCCTGCAGCGGCGCCTGTCGGTGCACCGGCAGATCGTGCGCGCGCAGGCGGTGTGCACGCGCTGCAGGGAGCCGGCCGACTTCTGGTGCTTCGAGTGCGAGCAGCTCCTGTGCGCCAGGTGCTTCGAGGCGCATCAGTGGTTCCTCAAACATGAGGCCCGGCCCCTGGCCGAGCTGCGCAGCCAGTCGGTGCGCGAGTTCCTGGACGGCACGCGCAAGCCCAACATCTTCTGCTCCAACCCTAGCCACCACCGCCAGCCTGAACTGACCAGGTGAGTGGAGGGGCGCGCATCCCAGAACCAGGGATGGGGTGGGAGGAGCGATCGTCCAGAGAGCCGCAGAGCTGGGGGACAAGGAGCTCCTGGACCTTACAGCTCAAGGTGTGGTTGGGGACATGCAGCCTCTGCAGCGATGGCCACCACAATTTTCCAGGCCTTCCTGCAATACATAACGTAGCCGAGTCATCCTGGCACCCCTACCCAACAATTTATTTAGGATAAAATTTTAGAGGTGCCACTGCTGGGTGAAGTGGTATGAACATTCTACACTCGCTACATGTTACCAAACTGCCCTTTTGAAGGTCTTTGCGTGGAATTTTCCCTAAGTGCTGAATCTCAAACTTTCGTTGTGTGTGGAGTTTGGTGTTGCGCGTAATGTATGCATATTCCTATTTTCTGCAGCTTGATCTCTTTCATTATGCTTTGTTTTTCTCTCAAAATGGAAAGCCAGTTTTCTCAATAGCATATGTTGGATGGTCCGCTCTTTGCCTGTGGCTCTGAAATGGCTTTCGTGACCTGCTACTGAATGTCCATGTGGTCATGGTGTGCTTGTAAATCTCTGTTCTGTGCCAGGGGTCTGACGTGCTCATGCCGCAACTGTAAGAATTTCGGCAGCTTTCTCCTATTCTTCTTCAAACATAATTTTGCTTTTCTTTTGCTCTTACAATGTATGCAATTTCAAAGCATACATATTCATTAAGATTTTGATTGAAATTACATTAAATCTGCAGAGAATTGACTTTGTCTCTGGTTATATTTTTTGGATTTTGTTGTTTTATTTATATAGGGCTTGAACTCACACATTTATAATGTTCAGTAATCCTGTGAATGAGATCTTTTTGCATTATGATTTCTAATGGGTTTCATTAGCATTCACTAATGCTCTTAGTGTATACATATATTAGTATTATACTCAGCACAAACTCTTTTATTATAGTAAGTTTCTTAATTGATTTGTTTGGATTTTCTCAGTAAACAATCATACCGTCCTAAAATTATGAGTTTCTTTTCTTTCTAGTATTAATACATACTATTTCTTTTTAAAGCTTTATTTCACTGTTGGAATCCCAGAACAACATTGAATAACAGTAGTTAGAAAGGCAACTTTATCATGTTCCTGTCTTTTTTTTAAATTTTATTTCCTGGTGGTAATGAGATTTTTAGAAATTGCTCCTGTCTTTAATGAGAAAGTCTGCTTTATTTTCTTGTGAAGTATGATGTTGATTGTTGGCTTCCGTGGGTAATTTTTAAAAACCATGTTAAGAAAGTTACTTCCCTAGCCGGGCTCAGTCAGCCTGTAATCCATGCCTTTGGGAGGCTGAGGTGAGTGGATTGCCTGAGCCCGCAGGTTCGAGACCCGCCTGGGCAGTGAAACCTCATCTCTACAATAAATAAAAAAAAAAATCAGCCGGGCGTGGTAGCACATGCCTGTAATTCCGGCTACTTGGAAGGCTGAGGCGGAAAGATCGCCGGAGCCCAGCAGGTGGAGGCTGCGTGCACTCCAGTCTGGGCGACAGAGTGAGACTCCAACTCAAAAAAAAAAAAGAAAGTTACTTCCCAATCTTGGTTTGCTAAGAGTTTTGTTGTTGTTGTTGTTTTTGTTGTTGTTTTATTTTTAACTCAGGAACAGTTCACCTTGTAGTTTGATAAACTCAATCAATATATTTTTTATTCTGAATCATTTTTTAATTCCCAAAGGACAAACCTTGCATGGTCATGACATACTATTATTTTAAGTTATAGCTAGGTTTCAGTTAGTAATATTTATTTAGGCTATTATCTGTATTCATGAGTGTCACCAATTGTGTGTGAATACATATGATTTCTTCATCAAGTGTTCTTATCCATTTTATGCTAACCTCCTCATGAATTTGTAAGCTTTCTTTTTTTGAACATGTTAATATAGTCATCCTACGAGGTCCCTGGAGCATTGGCTCAAAATTCATGGATACTCAGATCTGATATAAAAATTCATAGATGCTCAAGTCTCTGATATAAAATGGCACAATATTTATGTAAAACCCACTCACATCCTTCATACACTTTAAACCATCTCTAGATAACTGAAAATACCTAATATAATATGAATGCTATCAAAGAGTTGTTACACTGTACTTTTTAAATTTGTACTTATTATTATTGTTTTACTGGTATTTTTCATTTTTTTTAATATTTTTGATCCACATTTGCTGAATCCTACAGCTGTGTAACCCACAGATACTGAGGGCCAACTGTTTACATAAATTGTTTAACATAGTGCCTGGCACATATTAAGTACTCAGTAAATGTTGAAATCTCTGCTCCAGAACATTTTAAAGAGCATAAGAAATTCATACTTACATGAGTATTTCGGAAAACTATCTGGGGACTGGTACCTTTTTTTGAAGAGTGGATTTTTGGGAATCTTTGCCATTTTTGCTATGGAATTGGTCTGTTTTGACTCTTGAGTCAGATTTTCTGGAAAATTTTGCAGCTTATCCTGAGTTATCTTTTATAATTTAAAAAATCTCCTTTATACCTGTAATCATACCTCCTTTCTTACTTCTAATGTATATTTCCGACTATTTTTGTGGTTTCTTTCAAAGTAGTGTACTTTCCTTCTTTCTAAGTAATTATTTTTGTCATTTTCTTTCTAATTTTTGTCATTATTCATTGTCTAGCTTCTTGACTATTTAATTCATTTATTTGCAATCTTTGTTGTTTAATAATAAAAAGTGTTTTGAGACATAAGTTTTCCTCTGCACATGGCTTTGGCCGTATCCTATAACTTTGATAAGTAGTGTTCTCATATTTAATCATTTCTCAAATATCATTTCAGTCTTTTCTCAAAAAATGTTTTTGAAGAGCTTTGGAAAAGAGGATTTTCTAGAATGTTCAAGTAGTTTGTGATGTTTGGTTTCTATATTTGATGTTAATTTCTACAATATGGTAGTTAATACCGCTTGTAAGAGTTCTGCATCTGAGACTGTATTCAGATTTTCTTGTGACTAGCATATTCCTAGCAAGCATCGCTGGATTTTAAGATTTGTGTTTGTTGTACAGTGCACATGTAAATTTACATGCACAATTATATACAGAGGGTGTCAAAAATGTATACACATTTTAAGAAAGGAAAAAACTATTAAAATTGTAATACTCATTATATACTGATAATAAAAGATGAATACAAGTCGTGTTCAGCTTTAGCAGTGACAAGAGGTGCTCAAAGTGGTTCCCATCAGTGTCCAGACACTTCTGATGATGGCGAATGACTGCAGGACTTGTTGCTGTGCAAGACCTCCTGGGTCTCACCTTGTGCACGTCACACACAGGACCAGGCGTCCCAGACTCATCACAAATGCGTGCAGTTGTTGGGCATGTTGGAGATTCTGTTACACACTTATGCCTCCATTGTCGTCCTTCCACAACATTCTCAAATTTCAAATACCACTTCAAAATGGTCTTGTGCTCCTCTAATGACAACCTTGCTTCTGCCATTTTCTTTGTCCTACTGGTCGCGTACTGATGCTAGCATTCATTGGGTGAACGCCACCTTTTGAGCAAAGGTCATACTACACATTGCTACTGTCATTCAAGTCAACTTCGAAAAGTAATTCATAGATAACAGCTCTTAAAATGTGTATACATTTTTGACATCCCCTGTGTGTGTATGACGTGTGTGTATAATGTTTATATGCATATATCTGTATGTATGCATACATAAATGTGTAGGTTCCAGTGTGTGTTTATCTACTCTCTTGAAACTTTCTACTTTCCATTCTGTTTTACCCATTCTCTAAGTGGTAATTACAGAGTAGTAACTTTCCCATTCATAAAAATACACACACATACACAACACACACACAGATCCTATTCCATCTATCTTCATAATGAGTAGAGTGTAACTATTCTTCCAGAGAGAGTAAAACTTTTAGCATATTTCTTCCTCTCCCCTCTCCCTCCTCACTTACAGATTTAATTGAAATAATGTGAACTTTTAGTTCCAGATTACTATCAAATTTTGTGTGCCTTTTCTATTTAAGCATCCTTTCTTAACAGTTATTAGGCTTCAGTCATACTACAACTCACTTGTTAGCTGTCAACTTAGACTTTAATTGGTTTCAGTGCCCACAAGAATTTTTTCTATAGTTTCCCCCCCCCATCTTGAATTATTTACTGTGATTAATTTTCTATCTGGTGGGAATACCCCATCACATAATAAAAATGTTTCTCAGCTGAGTGCTATGACTCATGCCTATAATCCCAGCACTTTGGGAGGCCAAGGTGAGAGGATTGCCTGAGCCCACCAGTTCGAGACCAGCCTGGGCAACTTGGTGAGACCTC